GGATGTGGGGGTAGGCGTGGGAATCGACGGGGCTCCCGGGGTTGACGCCCATCTTCCAGGGCAGGCTCTTGTCGGCACAGTGGACCAGCGGGGGGATGGCCGGGGAGGCCGAAGGCGTCGAGAGCCTCATGGGCGAAGCCAGGGACGAGGGGATGTGGGGGCTGACGTAGTGGGGCGGCGGCAGGTAGAGGAAGCGCTCCCCGTTGGTGCAGACCGGGGAGTAGAGCGGCTGGGCCAGGCTGTAGGACTGCTGAGGTAGCAAGGCCTTGTACATGTTCAGGGGGTACTTGTTTGGCGAGTCCAGGAAAGGGTAGATGGCTGGCGTGGCCCCCTCCATGTAGGGGTTGACCCAGGGCAGCCGCAGGTAGCTAGCACCGTTGATGTTGAGAGGGCTCTGCTTGTCGCCGGCCGGCCGGTCCAAGCCCAGCGCCTCTGCGGGGGGCACCGCGCCTTTTTGTATTCCGGGTGGCGTTTTGTAGATGGCACTGAAGCCATTGGGGGCTTTTCCGGAGACAGCGGAGGCCTCCACCGTCTCGGGGGTGTTGGGTTTGAACTGCACCTCTGGGTTTCTTTCGGAAGAAAACCCGAGACCGCCGAGGGAGCTGGCAGCGGCCTCCCGGCCTTTCTCGGAGCCCAGCCCGCACAGGCTGGAATACACGATGTTGCCCGGGACCCGCAGCCCTTCCCGAATGAGGCCGGTGCGGTCCATACTCAGCGCCGTCAGGCCATCGATCCGATGGGCAGTGGTCGCGTCCACCTTGGCGGAAGAACACGGGGGTTACTAAGACATTCCTCCCAAGCACCCGACCGACCCAAAGAGCGACTGCCACCTGCTCAGTAACACACCAGGCGCCTCAGCATCTGAGCAGAAAGGGGGGAGGAGGAAAGGGTGCGGGTTCTCCGGCCCCCTCCCCCCTCATCCAGAACCCTTGGCTGCCAGCTCCACTAGGGACCCTGAAAGCCCAGAAAATGTCGATCCCTTTAGACTCGCGGCCCACACGTTATCAGTCATCTATTAACTCTGGGAAATTCACCTTCTCAGCAAAAAAACACGGTGCCGCCACGGACACACACTAACTCCACGCCTCTCAGTAGCGCCTTCACAGGGTCCAGAACTCAGACTAACCCTCCGCGGCCCGTGGGTGGGGGCGGGGCCGTGCTCACTGGGTCTTTCCTGGATGCTATTTAACATAACAAGAAACAATCTTCAGCGGAGGACTGGAGATGGCTCATTTCTAAATCAATAAAGAGGCCAGGGGTCAAACTGCGGTTGCATCTTTTGACTTCCTCTCCCTGGTGTCTGAGAAGCTCGTGCGTTTCAGATTTTACTGGAAACGGAAACCCTAAGGATCTATTTGGAGGCTGGCAATCTCTCTGTCCGGGAGCACTGATGTGGCATGCAGCTTAGCGAGGAAAAGGCGGCACATCTCCCACCCGTGGGCACGTCGAAAGGAGCGCTCGGCCGGACCGGGGTGGGAAGAGATGAGGGAAGGGCCTAGTCCTGCGGCAGACAGAGGCTTCCTACTGAGCCCTGCCCTGAAACACCAGGCTCCACCCCCACCCAAGCCCTTTAATGGTATGCAAATTAATGCACGATTGATTACAGATCACTGCGACTCAGATAGCACATCAACAGAAGCCATTCATCTCTTACCACGTTGTGGTTCAAGGGATTTTCTTCCCTCAGTTCCAGTCTGGCCTTTGAAGCGTCACCGTCATTTACAGGAATTTTCCTACGTGAAAGGACACACCGACTTCATGAAAGCATCCCTCGCTTAAGCCATCATTCCCAGATTGCCCCCAGAAAAGACCATTTCCTAATAACTCCATTTTTTTTCAACTGCCCTTAGAAAACATTCCTCCCCCCATGGCCCATACTGCAAGTTGTCCCGAAATGGTGATTTAACTGGACCGGGGAAAACAAAGGCAGGACAACAGGGATGAGAGATCACAAACATGACCAACCCTGAGGTGGGTCAGCTGAAAATTAAGCCCAGCCATTCCTCCAGCACAATGTTTTCTCCAGAGATGCCAATCTGGGCTCTGCATGAGGACAGGTATTAGCACACTGGTCAGAGCCCAAAGCAGGGGACAGAAAACTGGAGGGTACTGGCCACATTGACCACTTCCATGTTACCCACGAGGGCAGGCTCTCAAAACTTTTCCCCAAAGTTAGGTCCATGTCCTCCAAAACTGGTTTCCATGGTGATAACGAAGCCCTATTTGATTGCCTTTATCAAAACGATGAGGGATAAACACTAATATCATACAAATGTCAGCTGCTCCCGGCTCCAGAGGAAGCCGCACGTCTGTGCCAGGCTGCGGCAGCCGCCCTGGGACTTGTTATCAGGGAGCATCGATAAAGCAAGCGCCTGGTGCCAACTCCCAAATCCCCAGGATAAAACCGCTGACAAGCAGCAGGGGAGCTCATCATTACCCCGAAAACCAGCCTCGATCATCTGTTCAGATGTCTCCACCCCACACCCCAAAATCACCGATTAGGAACTAACAGAGCTGTCAGCTGACTGAACCCAGGCGCCAACGGCCACGCTGAATGGGCCGCACAGGACGCCTGGAGACGCCGGGCTTAACCGCAGTGAAGGGTGGCTCTCTCCCCAGTTATTACTGAGCAAACTATTTGTTTTAAAAGCACATCGAATGCCGATCCACCTGGGCCCGCACTCCTGACATTTCGAGTTAAAGCAGCATATAGACTGGGATTAATTCTCCTTCATAAATATGAAATAATAAATTAAGAACGAAAGTGCACTGAAAGGCCGCTTTAGGGGCTAATCTCTTAAAGGGCGGCGATGCTTCGCTGAGCTGGGTTGCCTGTTAAAACTGTAAATCAGGGGCCGCCAGCGAGGCAGATCTTTCTCCCCCACCCCTTTCGGGGCCCACCGTGGCTGTGAGAAAGCGAGGAGGCCTGGGCTGGCTCAGGGGCAGGGCAGACCCACATGCTTCCCGACCTCCCAGCCCTCCCAGCCGGGCCCGGGCGCTCACCTGTCTTCGTTGATCCCGCACATGCGGACCCGTTCGCTGCTCACCCAGCTGTGCACGTTCCCATACAGGGGGGTTGCCGAGAGCATGTCGTCTTCTTGGAAGGCAGCTTTTCTTCAAGCGTCTAGTCTGCTTAAAACAAAACAAAACAAAATCCCAGGAGGTTGACTAAAGAGCCAACTAGGAAACGAGAGAAGCCCTCTTTCTAGGCAATTCCCACAGAGCGCAGACCCGGGGAGGCAGACGGTGCCCGGGGGCTACCGATGGCACACACCACACCCCAAGGTCCGGGGAGGCGAGAGGGTTAAAGCTCCACCTCACAGCATCCAGGACGGAGCCCCTCCCTGCCCGCAGGCTGCCCTCCTCTGCCTGGGCCGCGGCCTCTGCAATAGGGCAGGTGGAAGGCACAGCAGCCAGCGAGGCCCAGGCCGCCCTGAGTTTCCGGGGCTCTGCAACTTCCAGTTCAAGGGTTAAAGAGTCGGGGGGCCGGTGGCCCACGGCACCCCAACCCTAGATTAGATTAAGCACCGAACCTGGGTGGTTTGGCCTGGGAGCTGCAGGGGGAGGCGGCTGAGTAATTCAATGACGCCTACTCACTGGGGACACAAATCATTAGCGAGCGAGCGCACAGGTCTTAGCAGCCCGGGCCCGCTGGCGCCCTGGGAGCAGCCAAAAGCCACCCATTTTCCACCTCCTTGGAGGGGACGGCTGCCAGCCAGAGGGGGGAGAGCACCTCTCCCCTCCCCCACTTCCTTACCCCCTCAGCCCTGCCCCCACCCCAGCACATTCTAGTTTGCTGCATGAGTGAAGGGTCAGGACAAGCTGCATTTTATTAACAGGATTATCACGGCGCGTGATTTATCCTCGTGCAGGATTTTAATTGCTCTTCGGAGGTTGAGCCGTTTCTTTTGACTGCGCTTCAGCCCATATCCTGCTGTTAAATGCTGGGTTAATAAGTAGGGGAGCCTTTAATGCCTGGGACCGATGGCCCTGGGCAATTCCCTGATCGAATCACAGCCCAGCTCCCGGCCGGACAGGCCGCGCGGCATCTCTCCCCCGGACCCAGGCCCCAGCGTGGAACCACTGACGCGAACACCATCAGGGGAACTTTCTTCCTCCTTCTCCCTCACACACCCACCCACACAGTTTCCGAAAGCCCAAATGTTCCCTAAGTCGACACATTTCCTTTGTTAGCAGGAAAAAATATGCAAATGATCGTTTTTTTACACTTTAGCGCAGAAAGCCTGCCGGGTCGCCTGGGATGGAGGCACCGGGTCCGGATCTTTTCAGAGGCGCAGAGGGTGGGGGTGGGGAGCACCAGGGAGGCCTGAATCCAAATGCCAGGCTGTCCTTGGGCATTTCTTTGTCCCAACTAGGCCCTTTGTCCACCAGCAGAGCCCCACCAGCCCCTAGACATACAACACCGTCTGTTCACCAAACGCCACGGGCGTGGGCACACCGCGCCCCGCGTTCAACAATGAAGCCGGAGGAACGCGGAGGCCATCTGCAGAAGGCGGCAGGCCTGGTGGGGTCCCGAAGGGACTAGTCCTCCAGGAAGCATCTTTCTTCATCGACGGGGACAGTTTCCAAAGCACAAGCCACGCTCCCCGCCCCCAAAAGAGTCGCATGGGCTTTTGGTCCAAATATACAAATGGAGTTGGGGGAGGCCACCACCTGTGCTGGGACAACCACCAGGCATGTCCCCAAGGCTCCTTCTAACAACAGGAAGACATCATGAGCGGCTGATGTGGACGGTGGGCAACATTCCTTGGTGCCAGTGTCCTTGGCTATTGGCTGAAGCAGTGGGACTGGACCACGCCATCCCCACTGTGTGCCGGGCTCAATGCGGAGATGACACAAGGAGCTGAAGGGTCACTGCGGTGTCCGTCTTCAGAACTGGCCTTCCCTTGCACCCCTCCCCGCACACCTCCTTAGTAGCCACTCGGTGACAAGGACCCCCGACACCTGGCTGAAGGCCGAGGGAGGGAAGGGCTGCCTCCATCAGCCCCCAGTCAACATGGTGACGCTGGCAGGGGGATGGGCAGGGATGAACACGAAGAAGCAAAAAAAGACGGGGGGGGGTTTCCATTGTTGGATCCTGCTGCCTACACACACACACACACACCCCACACTTATAATCTGTAGCTGCCCCATGAACTTTTTGTGAACTGTTTAAAAGTGGAGGTCTGTTGAACAAACAGCGGCGCCACTGCCAGCCATAATTTCATTGCAACAAGCTAAAGACTTAACTCTTCAGGCTCCTGGCCCAAGATGGAGCCGAGTGCAAAGGGCCAGTGAGCCGTGGGCCTGCCTGGCACCAGGCCCTTCTCAGGGTGACAGACAAGAGAGCCCAACTGCCCGGCAGGGACACGCTCGCCAAAGGCTACACTGTGTACCCCCAACCATGACCACAGAACCGCCCCCCCATCTCTCTGGGGTGCTTTACTAGGGGGGACGGTGGTGGTAAGAAACCAAAAGAGAGCGAGAGGCAGAGCTCTAGCCAGTCGCCCACTCCGGATCACCCACGCTGCTTCTAGAAGTGGCTGTTGATCTAGTTGGGACTTTTTTTAAAAAAACCTCTAAAGGGAAGTGTCTCAAAACTGGCTTCGCTGACCCTGGGCCGTGGAGGATCCACAGGACAGGCACTTTGCGGCTACATAGAAGAGACTCATCTGCCCTATTTCTCAACAACCCCCCCTCCTCCCGCACAGGCGGCTCTGCTTCGCCGAGTGCCAGGACGTGTGAAGTCACTCAGGAAGGCACTGGGCAGGCACCAACCTGCTCGCAGCGCGAGCTGCCCGGCTACACCCAGGCTCCGGGTTAACCCTTTTCCCAGGAGCGGAGACGAGGGCGCGAGGCTGCGGGATGGGATGAAGATGGGAGCTGGTCCAAGGGAGAGGGCAGATGGGGAGGCTGAGGAGCGGCTGGAACAGCGGGTCTGGGGAGAGAGCTGGCTCGCAGGATGCAGATACACACCGAGGGGCCCACACACCGAGGGGTCTCTGGCTCTCAGGTTGGCGGTAACCGGAAGCTTTACCGCAGGAGAGCTCAGGGCTCCCTCAACAGACGTGGGCAGACATCTGCCTTGGGAGCCAAGAGCTATGATTAGTGTCTGAGCCCGGCCTGGCCCGCGGAGAAGGGCCTGATTGGCAGAAAGAGGTCAGAGGGACCACCCTCGGTGACAAGGCCTAAGGGGGCGCACGGGCCTCAGGCAGCACCCGCCACCAGCATGCCACTTACTCCTGCAGTGAGGGCACCATTACGGACGGAGGGAAAGGAGAAAACAAAGAGCAGGTGGGAGAAGGCGCCGGGCTGAGAGGCGGGCTGAGCGAAGGGAGGGAGGCAGCACAGACCCCGCTGGCACCTGTCCTTCCTCCCCGCCCGGCTCCTCCTGGCGCCAGGCCACTTTCCACCGCCTCCGCCCGCCCTCAGGTGCCCATCAGTTAAAGTCTGCACACCACGCTTGTCAAGTGAAGCAGACAGAATGGAAACATCGCCACCGAACCGTCCAACTCTCGCGTCTCACACAGGCGCTGATGGGGCCCTTTCCCAGGGTCTCCCTCGCTGGGCACCTTGTCCCGGGCGGGGACCCCGGCCAGCGCGCAGTGGGGCCTCCTCCGGGAGGGGGTGCCCCTCACTGCTTGGCTGTTCTCTGGAGAACATGTGTGCCTCTGGGCAGGTGGCTGAACCTCGTCAACCCTGGTCCCTCATCTGTAAACACGCTTTCCAGGGGATTGGCCTGCCCTGTGGACTTGAGCTCTGCCTGGCAATCGCGGGTACAGGCCGCGTTTCACCCCATTAGCTTCTCTGTGGCACCAGGAGGGCCGAGGCGGGGACAGAGGGGCCGGGCTGGGAGGGTGACCTTCAGCAGAGTGGCGAGGATTTCGGGGAAGCAGAAGCTACCCCTAGGGAGCCCTTCCTGGGGCAGCTCCAAGTGCAGCCGGCATCACACACTGGGTCCTGCTCTGCTGGGGGTGGGGTGGGGGTTGCTATTTTACGATGGGGGGCTCTATGGGGTGGGAGATGAGAGGAGAAAGTCCCCCCATGTGCAGTGTTGGGGCGGGTCCCCCTGGGTGTGCATAGCAGCAGGTAGCTGGCACCCCCA